TCTGTCCTGTTCACAATCAGAGTGATATTTTCTTGGAGCGGCACGTCCATTAGTATTAATCCTCTTTGGTTCTTTCGGTAAAGTCACGTAGATAGAAAAATAAAGTGAATACAAATATGACGACGTTTCGATCGCAACACAAGCGGTCGTCATTAGGAAAAGGCGTTATCCTCTAAAGGTGAAGAGTTCATAAAGTTTTGGAGATGGGCAGAGCCCAAGTGTATCAGCAGCACCAGCAGCAATGCCAATGCAGCAGCAATGCCAATGCGACAGCAATACCAATGCAGCGGCAATGCCAATGAAGCAACAATGCCAATGCAGCAGCAATGCCAATGCAGCAGCAATGTCAATGCAGCAGCAATGCCAATGCAGCAGCAATGCCAATGCAGCAGCAATGCCAATGCAGCAGCAATGCCAATGAAGCAACAATGCCAATGCAGCAGCAATGCCAATGCAGCAGCAATGTCAATGCAGCAGCAATGCCAATGCAGCAGCAATGCCAATGCAGCAGCAATGCCAATGCAGCGGCAATGCCAATGCAGCGGCAATGCCAATGCAGCGGCAATGCCAATGCAGCAGCAATGCCAATGCAGCAGCAATGTCAATGCAGCAGCAATGCCAATGCAGCAGCAATGCCAATGCAGCAGCAATGTCAATGCAGCAGCAATGCCAATGCAGCAGCAATGCCAATGCAGCAGCAATGCCAATGCAGCGGCAATGCCAATGCAGCAGCAATGCCAATGCAGCAGCAATGCCAATGCAGCAGCAATGCCAATGCAGCAGCAATGCCAATGCAGCAGCAATGCCAATGCAGCAGCAATGCCAATGCAGCAGCAATGCCAATGCAGCAGCAATGCCAATGCAGCAGCAATGCCAATGCAGCAGCAATGCCAATGCAGCAGCAATGCCAATGCAGCAGCAATGCCAATGTAGCAGCAATGCCAATGCAGCAGCAATGCCAATGCGGCAGCAATGCCAATGCGGCAGCAATGCCAATGTAGCAGCAATGCCAATGCAGCAGCAATGCCAATGCAGCAGCAATGCCAATGCGGCAGCAATGCCAATGCAGCAGCAATGCCAATGCGGCAGCAATGCCAATGTAGCAGCAATGCCAATGCAGCAGCAATGCCAATGCAGCAGCAATGCCAATGCGGCAGCAATGCCAATGCAGCAGCAATGCCAATGCGGCAGCAATGCCAATGTAGCAGCAATGCCAATGCAGCAGCAATGCCAATGCAGCAGCAATGCCAATGCGGCAGCAATGCCAATGTAGCAGCAATGCCAATGCGGCAGCAATGCCAATGCAGCAGCAATGCCAATGCAGCAGCAATGCCAATGCAGCAGCAATGCCAATGCAGCAACAATGCCAATGCAGCAACAATGCCAATGCAGCAACAATGCCAATGCAGCAACAATGCCAATGCGGCAGCAATGCCAATGTAGCAGCAATGCCAATGCAGCAGCAATGCCAATGCAGCAGCAATGCCAATGCGGCAGCAATGCCAATGTAGCAGCAATGCCAATGCAGCAGCAATGCCAACGCAGCAGCAATGCCAATGCAGCAAAGGGCCGCCAGAAAATGACTGCACCTCGCTCCACACACCACACTGCTGACGGTGGAGGTTGATGACCCAAAGTGGTTGATGACATCTTGCCAATGATTGCTGAATCTATAACCTTCCTCTCGGTTGAAGTCGTCTCTGTGTCTGTGTATATGGATGGCTTCATGAACGAAACTTTGTTGATAGCCAGTCAGCTTGCAAAGTACCATCGTCTTAGAGAAATCTATTTCGTGTGATCCAGCCGCATTAAACTAATGATCAGCCACGGCAGAATTATTGGTCCTGCCGTGTTTCAAATCTGCCTTATGTTCACCAACACGGTCCGAGACATGTCGCTTAGTTTCCCCAATGTAACTGCTGCCGCAGAAACAGCTTAGTTTGTAGACGCCAGGATATTGCATGTCAGGAATCTTGTCCTTCACAGATGGGATAAGATCACGAATTTTATGCACTGTGTTAAATCGGACCTGGATCTTGTGTTTGTTCATGATTTTGGAAATATTTCTGGTTACCCCTGCTATGTATGGCAGGGTGATGGTTTTGATTGGTTGGGGTGAGGGCTTTGCGGATTGTGTACGGTAGTCAGAATATCCATTCATCTTGAGAGCTTGGTGTACGTGTTTGAGTTCACTGGCCAGGTGTTCATGGTCGGAGATACATTGAGCTCTATGGTGTAGCGTTTTGATGAGGGAATTCTTCTGGGATGGATGGTGGTGGGAATCAGGTTTTAGGTAGGCGTCAGTATGGGTTACTTTCCTGTAGACAGAATGGCTCATTGAGCCATCTGGTCTCTTTTTGATTTGGTCATCCAAGAAAGGTAGCATGCCATCCTTTTCTACCTCCATGGTGAATTTGATTGTTGGGTGTATGGAATTGATGTGGTTGAGGAATTGGTTTAGAGCCGGTCGGCCATGTGGCCAGATGATGAACGTGTCATCCACGTACCTCTTCCACAAGGACGGGCGTAGAGTGGATGCCTGGATGGCGTCTGTCTCAAAATTTTCCATGAAAATATTGGCTACAACCCATTGGGTGCCTTCAGTTTGTTTGTAGAATGTTCCATTCCATGAGGCAGTATCTCACCAGGACCGGTACATCAGCATTCAAACCTTGTTGGACCAAATCTTCGATGATTGCAATGGTATCGGGCACAGGAACTTTGGTGAACAAAGAAACTACATCGAAGCTGACGAGTAAAGCACCTGGGGACAGTGAGATGTCTTTAATTGACGATACCAGGTGAGCTGAGTTAAGAACAGAAGAGGTGGTCCTACCAGTGAATGGCTGCAAGGTCTCCAACAGCTATCGGCCAGTTTGTAGGTGGGTGAGCCAGTGGTGGAGACGATGGGATAAAGGGGTGTACCTTCTTAATGGATTACTCTTTGGTTCTTTCGGTAAAGTCACGTATAAAGATAAAATGATAAATTAAATAATAGCATACGACGTTTCGATTGCAACACAAGCAATCATCATCAGGTATAAATGAAATAGCAACAAAAATCTAATCTGGTTAGACAAAAATCTAATCTGGTTAGATTTTTGTTGCTATTTCATTTATACCTGATGATGATTGCTTGTGTTGCAATCGAAACGTCGTATACTATTATTTAATTTATTATTTTCTCTTTATACGTGACTTTACCGAAAGAACCAAAGAGTAATTCCTGCAGTCACGAAAGCTCCAAATTAAGATTATTAATGGATGTTTGATAAGCCATACAATCTGGGTGGTTTAGCAGCAGAAGGTTTTAAGGAAACCCGTTTGGTCTGTTCAATGAATGAAGCTGAGTCAGTGGCGATCCTGTTCGTTTTTGTCACGAGGCTGTTGGTGGGATCTCTTTTAATTCTAGATTTGGTCACCGTTTAATTTATTTTATATTTTTTACCTACGTGACTTTACCGAAAAAAACAAAGAGTATGAGTATCTCTTTTAATGTTTGTGTAGCTACCATCATTAAGTATCCATCTCCATAATTTTCTAAATACTTTGTATTGAACAATCCTGTTGTCGTATCTGGGGTGGAACACCCAGTTCCCACTTCGCTCTGCCAAATAAGATTGAACACAGAGCACTTGGGTTCGTTTATGATCTAGGACCGACTGACTCACTCCAGCCACTGACTCATTGGGGGTCAGTCGCCTCCTCATCACTCCTCCATTGCTACTTCCATGGTCACCGTTCTCATGAGCTTCACTCAATGATTCCTCCACAAATGTAGAGGACTCGGTCTACCAGATTGATCGTTTCGTCGCATCTGCAGGACACAACAACACAACAAAAATCCTCCTGTGGCCTTAACAGACTTTGGCAGCAAGTACTGTGAGCAAGCATTTCTAAAGGCTGGCATGGTTTCGATTTAAAGCTTTCGTGACTGCAGGGATTCATCTTCTTGGTTCTTTCGGTAAAGTGACTTAACCGAAAGAACCAAGAAGGCTGGCATGGTACATGGGGGGATGATGTGGACTGCACCATCTCGGCCGCCTTTGTCTGCCTTGAGGTGATGTTTACACATCGGCTGAGTCGACCTAGGGGAGGCCCAGGACCGGTTCAGATAATCGTCGTTACCGGTGTTGGCCGTGAGAAGAAGTCGAACTACGGGTCGCCGAGTCCGTAACGCAGCGTAGCGCCAACCTTGACACCAGCGCTCACCAAGAACACGCCCGCTGACTCACTCACTCGCTCAGCCACTTAACCCCCAACACACTCATCTTTCTAACCTCTTCCCCAACACTGGTGCACATTTGATTTCCATCCCGTCAGCGCCTTCCCCAAGATTTAATAGCCTCGCTCAATTCAAGAATTGTGTAACTGCCATCAATTACCCCTTCGATCGTGCCGTTTTGTTCCTGGTCACCCGGCGATGGGAAAAACTGCGTTGGAGAGTGAAATTGGAAACACGAGACGTGACACATTTTTGCTCGACTTTTCTCAAAACGTGGTCAAATGAAGCGGAGTTAATTAACTCAAAAAAACTCTATCATGAAGCAGAGTTCCATCCAAGACAATCGAGTCAAACTGAGTTCCCGCTCAAATGAGCATTGTGGCATTGGTACTGATCTCCTGTTTAAAGCCCTGAGCCATTGGCGGGTTTATCCATAGGATAATCGTGATTGACTTCCCCACAAAGTGGTACTCCTTTTATTAACCCCAGAGGCGGGATGATGGGCTGGGTCAACCCGAACCAGGATTTGAACTCGCAACCTTCACATTGAACATTTGCAAAAACAAAACGCGCCGCTGCAAATCGTTATATAATCCGCACCGTTCTGCGTCAATCCCTCTGCCACACGTCGTTGTTTTCACTTCACGCTCTGACTCGATGTTGTCCTTCTCACAACACCCACAGCCTTCGTGTGTTTCTCTTCGGAGCGCCTCCCAATTTTACGGTGCGCTGTTCGTGAACATGTCCGCTCGTGTTTTGTCGTTGTTGTTGGCAGGCGCGTTGGGACGAAGTCTTGAACCGACAAATCTCCGCGATGATGTCTGCAGCCTCGCCGGTGCTCGCTCTCGCTGCCCGAGGCCTCTCATCCATCTTCATCTGCGTCTGCCTCGCCGCCATAACATGGTGCGCTGCCCCGGGAGCTTCGTCCGTGGGCGTCGTCCGTTCGCACGTGCAAACCACCACCACTACCACCGCAGCAGCAGCAGCAGCAGCCGTCTCAGCGCACGCATTGTGTGTGTGTGTGCGAACGCCGGCTCGTCACCAGAATCTATATTTATGGCGGATGAATCACGGAGGAGCGTAGGTTTGGCGGTGAACGGCGCTGAGCTACAAACGTGGCTGTGACTGCGGATCGATTCCCGCTCACGGCCACCGACAATGCCGGTGACGACTATCTGAACCGGTCCCCGCCTAGGTCGACTCAGCTGTGTATACATCAGCACAGGGGGAAAAAATGCAGCCGTGCGTGGTGCTAGCCAAACCAGCGTCATCGTGCGCCGTGCCGGCCTTATAATGTGCCCGCTAACAGCACTCGCCCCAAACAGCCTGTTAACAGCCGTACGGGGGATCTTTATTTTTATATTGTAAGAGTGTCTACTGGAGGCCAGGTTCATAATATATACACGCTGGCATGCACGCATGCACACGGTGCATACACAAAGGCAATCATAGACACAACACACATGTGTACCTGTGTGTGTGTGCGTGTGGCTGGGTTCACAATCCACGCACGCATGAATGTGCACACATGCACATGCATGGATGTGCACACAAGCACATGCATGAATGTATGCACATGCATGAATGTGCACACACGGACATTCATGAATGTGCACACAAGCACATACATGAATGTGCACACAAGCACATACATGAATGTGCACACATGCACATGCATGAATGTGCACACACGGACATGCATGAATATGCACACATTGGCATGCATGAATGTGCACACAAGCACATGCATGAATGTGCACACATGCACATGCATGAATGTGCACACATGGAATGCATGAATGTGCACACATGCACATGCATGGTTGTGCACACATGCACATACATACACACATATATATATATATGCACCGATAGATGCACGTAATCACAGACAAAGACAAAGATCCCCGTATAGGCTAAGAACATTTTTGGGGCAAGTGCTATTTGTGAGCACCTATGAAGGTTTGCACGGCACACGAGGGGGTCGGTGGCCAGCACCACGCCCGGCCGCCTTTGTCTCTCCAGTGGCGTTGTTTACACACCACACCAACTACTCATTTGAGGCTGAGTCCCAGGACCGGATATTTGTTACTGGTGTTGGCCGTGAGCGTTAATCGGACTCAGATCGCCGGGTTTGTAGAACAATGCGCTAACCACTACACTAGCGCTCTCCACAGGCGCACACATGCTGACACATGCTGACACGTATGCTGACACATGCTGACACGCATGCTGACACGCATGCTGACACACATGCTGACACGCATGCTGACACATGCTGACACGCATGCTGACACGCATGCTGACATGCTGACACGCATGCTGACACACATGCTGACACATGCTGACACACATGCTGACACGCATGCTGACACGCATGCTGACACACATGCTGACACGCATGCTGACACACATGCTGACACGCATGCTGACACATGCTGACACGCATGCTGACACGCATGCTGACACACATGCTGACACGCATGCTGACACATGCTGACACGCATGCTGACACGCATGCTGACATGCTGACACGCATGCTGACACACATGCTGACACACATGCTGACACGCATGCTGACACACATGCTGACACGCATGCTGACACACATGCTGACACACATGCTGACACGCATGCTGACACATGCTGACACGCATGCTGACACGCATGCTGACACATGCTGACACGCATGCTGACACGCATGCTGACACGCATGCTGACACACATGCTGACACGCATGCTGACACGCATGCTGACACATGCTGACACGCATGCTGACACGCATGCTGACACGCATGCTGACACGCATGCTGACACACATGCTGACACGCATGCGCATAGAGAAAGATTTCGCACCTGATGATAATTGCTTGTGTTGCAGTCGAAACGTCGTGAGAATTTGTATAGTTTTTTATTTGTATTATTTTATTATTTACCTTCTACGTGACTTTACCGAAAGAACCAAGAATATGAATCCCTGCAGTCACGAAAGCTTTAAATAAAAATTTAATCAAAGAGTATGTAAGCAAATCACCCAAACACTACACAAAATAAAACGAAACCATCCTCGTCCTATCAGGCAAAATCCCACCGAGGTATTAACTTCGTTTTCAGAAGCGACCTGGCCACTTCACACTGTGAGGTTTTCCTGAGTGGACATAATCACAATAATTATACAACCTGGAGAGGTGTTATGCGTGCGGGTTTGCTGCTAATCTGCATGCTTAAAAAAAAGACTCCACACTTGCAAAGGGTGCAATGCAATTTATATTTTTAGAAGTCTGCCGTCATTCACGTGTACACGTCCTCTCAGCGTGTGTGCGCGACGGGGGACTGCTCACGTGCTCCTGCAGCCTTCTGGGGATGATTACGATGGCAATGGTGGCGGTGGCCACGATGATGACGACGATTACATTTAGCACAATGCGGTCATTCAGCATCATTTACAACCAATGACAACGATGGTAACACGCTCGCCGCTTGATGCAGAGGTTCAGAGATCGAATGCTGAAGACGATGAGTATTAACCCTAGGAATACTACGCAACCGTTTTTCTTTCACAGTGGACATCAAGAATCCTGTGATGCCATCGTGTGCCAGCGTCACGGTGCAAATTACCTAAAATCTGAATAAAGCTACGCTGCAAATTACTCAATTGGGATTACACGGAGAAACCTGGCCCCCGATTGTGCAACTACTGCAGACCGTGAAACCAAACACCGCCTTCCTTTATGATAGCCTTGCACAATTAGAACGACGAAAATACTCTAAATGTGCTCAATTGTTATCATGATGATGATTAATTATAACGCAACACAGCCATTCGCAGCCGCAGCACAAAGTTGGCTACATTTGAATCGATGGCTGGCTGGCTTGTTTTGCTGGCTTGCCGGCTCGCTGGCTGCCTGGCTGCCTGGTTTGCTGGCTGACAATTAACCATAAAACAAGTGTCGTCTTCTTCGCAATAGGCCGTCAAGGTCCCGTGACGTCATTCGTTTCGGGTAGGCAATCGAGTGCTCGCGCCATCATCCACGTTTGTAAATTAGAAAAATCACAACAAACCTGTCGACGGGGGCTGCACGTAGCAGCTATTGCTCCCTACTGGCAGGCTGATGGCCGCTTGCAGGACCGGTGCCGAGTCAGCAATGCGCTCACAAAAACAGCTGCCACACGAGGTGCCCTTCTCAATATTTTTGAGATGAGATCCGAGACGTAACTCTCTAAACACGTGCAATATTTTGCTGTCTTTTCTTGGATTTTCTGTTTGCACTTAGTCACATATTCACTTAAAGATACTCTTAGTTCTTTCGGTAAAGTCACGTAGGTAAAAAATGAAATTAAAATTAATAAAAATACTTATTAATTTTAAAGTCACGTAGGTAAAAAATTGAAATTAAAATTAATAAATATTTTTATTAATTTTAATTAAATTTTTTACCTACGTGACTTTACCGAAAGAACTAAGAGTATGAATCCTTGCAGTCACGAAAGCTTCAAATCTAGAATTCACTTTAAGATGTTTTTTTGTTCATTTTTTCTTGTTCACGTTTTTGTTTTTTTGTTTGTTGCGGTTGCACCCGATTCAAGAGCCGAATGGCTCACAGGGCTACATCTAATAAATGAACTTGAACTTGAACTAAAGTGCTCTGAGACGACCGGGCGTAATGCGAGCGGCTCCATCGTCGTCGCCGCGATCGCCGTTCATCCCTCGCGTGCCCGTTCCTGCCCGTTCCTGCCCGTTCCTGCCCGTCGTCGTGAAACTTCCATCGTCCGTCTCCCTCCTGGTCGTCTTGTTCCCGCTGCAGCAGAGTGCAGGGCCAGACGTTGAAAACCCCGTCCGAGACCAACATCACCCTGTACACGAACATCCTGGATGTTCTACTCAAGGGCTACGACTACCGCTTGCGGCCAGGCCTGGCCGGTGAGTGGCCCGGTACTGCTCCGCACCAGACGCACGCACCTACACCCTTGTTGACGTGGCCGAGCGGACGTGCGTTCAACGTTCATAGCCAAATTCTTTTTTTTCGTACTCTTAGGTTTTTTCGGTAAAGTCACGTAGGTAAAAAATAAAATTAAAATTAATGAAAGTAATAATATAAATAAAATAAAAATTATTAAAATAATAATTCATAATAATGCTTTATTAAAATAATAATAATTATTAAAATAATTCTTTCAATTCGTAAAAGTAATAATATAAATAAAACGAAATAATTATTTTAATAATTATTTCTCTTATTTTAATAATTATTATTAATTGTTGTTATTATTTTAATATTTATTATTTTACTTTATTTCTATTATTACTTTTATTAATTTTATTTTTATTTTTTACCTACGTGACTTTACCGAAAAAGCCTAAGAGTATGAATCCTTGCAGTCACGAAAGCTTCAAATCTAGAATTATTTTTTTCCCTCTACGTCCCAGCGCGACTGCCCGCTTGTTCCAATGTTATTGGTTCGCATTTGTAGCAATTCCCTTCAGGTAAAGCGTTGACTGGCAGGCACTTAGTACCCCCGCCTGCCAGAACCCTCCCCCCACCCCTCTACCCAAAATCATCGCCCTCTTATTTTTTGCACTCGGACGAGCCACAGCGAGGGAGCTACAGCCATCTAAACACAAATGTAAAAATTCTCCATTTTTATTGACACATAAAGAGCCCTCGAATTAATAAGGAGCTGCACGTCTAGCCGCGTGGCAGATTTATCGAAATGTTGTGGTCGTTTCGTACTCCCAATTGCCCGCACGGTGCCCCCAAAGGGTTCGCTTTTGGCCTAGTGAATGTGGGTCGGAAGAATTGCGGGGTTCCGCCTGGCACGCGTGTTGCTCTACGCGCCTTTGGCAGGCGCTTCCATCACGCTGTGGAGAATCGTGCGCCAGCGTCGATAAACGGGCGGGAAGGCGTCGGCTGTTTGATTTGCGGGGTGCGAAGCCTCGCAGATTTCTTTTGACGCTCTGACACCGGAGCAACCCTCCTCCGGTAATCACGAGGTCGTGGCAGTGTGGCGAAATGGGATTTAATAAATAAAAAAACAAGGGTTATTGCAAATATTGTGTCGGTATTGAGTGTAGAATAGGGGGAATTGTGGTTTGACCCATGAAACACCCCCAACGAAGGGCATGGAACTGGTACGACCCACATTGAGTACCTGGTCACCTGGTCACAGGGAAAGGAACAATTGGAGGAGACTGGAGCGGCCGTTTTGAGCAGAGACGCGCCGAGGTCTTTTGTCAAGGAAAGTTGAAGTCTTGAAGACAGCCAATGAGAGGCTGTAGAGGAGGTGGATGAGGTGGTGACCGCTCAGAGCGTCGTCAGGGGCCCACAAGCTCGTGCCGCAGGACTTCAAGAGGGCTGCAGACAACGCTGCCTTCCCTCGCGTTTGTCGAAACCGGGAGGAATTGCCACCGTCGGGCACAATCATCCATAGCGTGATCGATTGCAGGGCGCGTGAAGCCACATACGCTGTGGGTCGGAGCTCATGACGTTTCCAACCCACATTTACCGCGCCAAGCGACCTCTTGGGTACCGTACGGGAATTGGAGCACAAAATGAGAACGATATTTCGTTAATTCTGCCTCGCGGCTCGGCATAAAGTTTCTTATTAGCTACGTACAGCTTCTTATTATTAGAAACTATACGTCAATACAAATCTAACATTTAAATGTTTTAACTCCGATGGCCGTAGCCCTCGCTGCTCATCTTTGGCACGCCAAAAGACCGATCCAACTCTTGCAAAATGTGGGCTGCATTTGTAGCTACGTCCGAGTTACAGAGACTGAATTTCGATTTAAAGCTTTCGTGACTGCAGGGATTCATCTTCTTGGTTCTTTCGGTAAAGTCACGTAGAAGGGAAATAATAAAATAATAAAAATAAAACATAATAAAATATTCTTTCGGTAAAGTCACGTAGAAGGGAAATAATAAAATAATAAAAATAAAACATAATAAAATATTCTTTCGGTAAAGTCACGTAGAAGGGAAATAATAAAATAATAAAAATAAAACATAATAAAATACAATTCTCACGACATTTCGGCCACAACACAAGCAGCCGTCCTCAGCTGAAGAAAAGAGCGTCATTCAGACGCTGTCTTTCCGACAGACCTGTTCTTCACCTGAGGACGGCTGCTTGCGTTGTGGCCGAAACGTCGTGAGAATTATTTTATTATGTTTAATTTTTATTAATTTATTATTTCCTTTCTCGTGACTTTACCGAAAGAACCAAGAAGATTACAGAGACTGCTCCAAACATATTTAAATTGACCAGGAAAGGCCCACTGAGCTACGTGGCGATTTTTCAGGAGCGACTTGGCCACAAATGATATCTTAACAAAGTGGCTCATCGCATGGAAATGTATAGCAGCCAAGTGCTCTAAACGCGTGTTTCTAAATGTGGAAATCCACGTGACCACAAGGAGAGAGGCACGCAAGCTCCAAATATACGGGCGTAAGTGTCGGGATCGAACCCACGACCTCCTGTATACCAGGCGAGGTAACATTAATATCTCCTAGCCAGCGCGGTGCTCCAATAGAAGTTGTAACACGCTCCTTCTGTGTGGACTCACTGCAGAGCAGCCGACTTTACAGGTAGCGGAGTGTTGATGCTCTCTCTCCTACAGACAGGCTTGATGTACATGTTTTATCCCGCGGTGTTTCTTGATTCCTATTGTTCATGCTCCGTTATTTTGCATATGGGATATGAAAAAAGCGGCTTTTGAACTCGCGTCCACCCTTCTCATTGATCAGACCATCAGACACGCCCGGCTACAAATGATTCCCCTCCGAGACTGGGGGTGAGAGGTGTTGGAATCGTGGTGTCCCGGTGGCTCTTCCCACCCAGAGATGACAGCGTGCAGCTCCGCGTTCCACGCGGGGGGCTGTTTTAGCTTCCCGGCAGCGAGTAATCGTATATGGAGTGCTCGCATCCACTAGATCGTGGACTGCAGAAGCACTCGTGATTGATTATGCAGCCCAAGGTAGCTGCAGTTCACTTCGCTTGAGTGCGTGCCGCAGCGGGAACACGGTTGGGGAATATGCGGCGTCAAAGTTGTGAGTTTCCGTGTGCATTAGGCGCTGCCACGTGCTCGACCAAGAAGGACCCCCCCACAGAGGAGGGATTGAGAGCTCGTTCCACCGGAGCGGCATCAGGGGCCAGGGCACGCAACGTGCCGTGGTGGGAAGTCGTTTGCAGGGTGGCGGGCATCTAAGTCGCCGCACACGTTTCATTAAGCGTCACCTCCGGTTGGATACGTACGGTGCAAATGAAATTCATCATCGGATAACGCTTTTTCGGTTGACGTTTCACCTCCCATACGAGCCCCATGGTTTCCACTAAAGTTAAAATTTAGATTTGCGGTACGTTGACGTTATGGAGGCGGGCGCCAATTTCGGCCAATCAGCGACGCCCATTTTTGAGCATTTAGACCTCGTCTGGCTTTGTTCACATTTATAGATTTTCTGTTTTGGCAGTGGGAACGGCTCTCTTGTAGACTTATTTCTCAACTTACAAGTGAATTCGATAAACAGTTATTTCGGTTGACGGTAGTTTTTGTTGAGCGGATTAAAACTGTCCACCGAGGGACGACGGTGAGTCTACACACATTGAGTCTTTGGCTTCGCAGGACGCCTGCTTCGGGAGAAGCGCTTCCGTCTGCTGCTGTTTAAGCGAGCGGCCTCTCCTTCCTCTGGGTACCGGCTTGAGGTATCGTTGCTAAATGTTAGGACTAACATTGGACCAGTGGGCAAGAGGCATGGAACGTAGAATAAGTCAGGTTTGGTAGTTCGGGGTGGAACACGTTATTGTGGCTCGTCCGTGCCGCCCACCCACTTGGCCTCCCTCCCATCCGTCCCTGTGATTGGCTACTCCCCTCGTGCTCTGTCTGCTGACGAGACACCGGACGTTGAAACCGGCTCGGAGTGTTGCTTGTGTTGAACCATCTTCTTGGTTCTTTCGGCAAAGTCACGTAGAAGGGAAATAATAAAATAATAAAAATAAAACATACTAAAATACATTTCTCACGACGTTTCAGCCACAACGCAAGCAGCCGTCCTCAGGTGAAGAACAGGTCTGTCGGAAAGACAGCGTCTGAATGAACACCACCACGCTTGGCAGCGTCTATTTAAGCTGGGTTAGGGGAGGAAGGGCGCCTTGACAAAGGAATTTGCATATCAATAGAGGAGTTTAGCAACAGAGGAATTTTTTTTGTGTTGAACCAGTGCTGCCGAATTTATGGATGCCCCAAAGGCCGTGGGTGCTGATGGGATGTGTAAAAAAAGGCACGAATTTTTTTTCATGCGGAGGCACGGATATATGCAGGAGACGATTTGTAAGCGTATTTATTTCGTTATTTATACTTTCCAAAACAATGTAAATGATTTGTGTGTATATATATATTAAGGGGCTTTTTTGTGCAGTCATAGGTGCTGAAATCATCCACGAGCTACACTCGAGAATCCAGATGAATGTGTGGGCGTCTGTACCCTGGATTCTAACCCAGGGTCTCGACGGCTCTGTGCGCAGACGTGGTATTACCCTAGACTTGAAGCTTTCGTGACTGCAAGGATTCATATTCTTAGGTTTTTTCGGTAAAGTCACGTAGGTAAAACATCAAAATTAATAAAAATAAAATAAAGATCACGACGTTTCGGCCCCGCCCCCCCTCCCTCCCGATACGTTCCATTCATTGGCTACCACATTCTGATGAGCTCCCCCCCCCTCTCCTCCCCCCTCAACTCGCTTTTAAGGGATTACATCTTGAATCATTGCCTCACTTGATGCAGCTAATCTGGCTGTGACGGTCCCACCTGATGACGGAGACTTGTGTTGCCCCCGAAACGTCGTGATTTTTATTTTATTTTTATTAATTTTGATGTTTTACCTACGTGACTTTACCGAAAAAACCTAAGAATATGTGGCATTACCCCCCAGAGCCCCACGGCTCCGTCCGTCTGCAACGACACACCTCCTTGTCTGCGATGTGTACACGCATTGCGCAGAGAACAAAACCACAGCTGTTTCCAGCACTCTGAATTAACCCTGTTCACACGCAATGCTGCAGCAGCAGCAGCAGGAGATTGTGGAGCATGACGTGTTTGTCCCTGAAGACGACATGGCCTACAGCGTGAATAACGGAATGCTGTGCTGGCTGAAAACTGCATTGCTCCATTGCCAAGCGAATGCATGCGAGTGTGAGAGAGAGAGAGAGAGACATTTAAACAAGCAGAGACAATAAAAACTATTACAGTAGTCTCCAGATTTTTGTGAAGCATGGTATTTTCCCCACAGTATTAAAAATAAAATGAGCAATGCGTCTTATGACCCGTAGATGAATTTGCTTTCTGGAAAGCACGCTTTAATCTCAGCATCGTCGTCCATGGTCAATCTGCTCCTGGGTGAAGGACCCTTCCCTCCAAGGCACCGCAACCCGCAACCTCTTCACAATCCTGTGATCTTGTAATCCACCCAGCCGCCCCTCCTCGCACATTAACCGATATCGTTGCTTTAATCTCGTTGAATCATCTTCCTGAAGACGGATCTCCATGGCAACGGATGACCACCCAGAGGACAGAAGACACCTGCCAGCCTTTAGCATCAACTTCAAACAGACATCTCTCCCCATTGTCGAGCAGCGCACTCATAAACATCTTTTGGAAATCGGCTCTCCATGTCCATTTCATAGCAACGAGGTAAACCAAATAAGACTAGGCTTTACCCAGTAAAACAGGGTGTGTTCACACGTTCAAACGCCAAACAGACACCTATTACAAGGCATCCTGTGCGCATCGACCACACATACTCGTGGCAAAACATGTGTCGGGGTTCAATCTTAATTTGGAGCTTTCGTGACTGCAGGGATTACTCTTTGGTTCTTTCGGTAAAGTCACGTATAAAAATAAAATAATAAATAAAATAATAGCATGCTATTTTAATAAATTAAATAATAGCATGCTATTTTTTAGTTTATTATTTTATCTTTATACGTGACTTTACCGAAAGAACCAAAGAGTATGCGTCGGGGTGTCAGGGGAAGGATTCCCACCAATAGGAGGGTTCATGGGACGATGGCAGGAGAAGGGGGAGGGGTGATCGAGGAGATTTCAGGGCAGTAACGGGATTGGGAGTGCTGGGGACAGGCGTGGATGGGAGAACACGATTAAAAGACGAACCCCCCGCAACCTTGTGTCGGCTCTCCTTTACACTTGCAAACAAACGTGCTCTGCCAAAATGCACATTGAAAGCGATTGGCGTACACCAGAGAGATATTCCTCCTCCCCCCGTGGGCCTGTCCCACCCGTGCCGGACCAGAGCCCGCCGGGAGGCGATGAGCGCACAGGCAAAAGTATGAAAAGCTCGTGTTGGGCACTCATACCGATAGCTGATACTCCGAGGTGTCGAGGGCTCGCTCCACCACCGCGATGGCGACGTCATGCTTCAGCAGGACATCTGGTTGGACAGCGACCTGGACGTCGTCGCGTGCGTCTTGCCGGGCGTTACAGGTTGGACACTTGAGCTTGTTTTCAGCATGCCTCCTTTCGTGGAGTGGATCTGCCTTCTGCCCTAATAGGCAGTGGGTGTATCTCTCCTCCAGTTAAGTCACCAGCTGTGAAATTATTGCGAGCTCGTTAAGAATAGCGAAGTTTCCAGCAGACGGCGGCACAGGCTGTAAAACACAAGTGGTTTTATTTTTGTTACCAAGGTACAAAACCATTAGCGTCATTGTGGATAATGTACTTAACACAATTGATCAGCTTTACAGTACGCTTGTGACACAAGCCATCACCCACACGGCCTCCTGGGAGTGCATCGTTTCAGCTGCATCGGTTCAACACAAGCAAGACTCCGGGCCGCGTTTCCACCTTCAATGTCTCATCAGCGAAGTCAGTTGGGGTCAGAGGTCGCAATCGGGTACCCGATACCCGTACCCTACCTGATACCCGGCTACCCGTACCCGGCCGGGTACGGGTACCCGTTTGCGACCCTGGTGCGGCCGGGTACGGGTACGGGTAGGCCGTGAGTCACTGGTGAGTCACCGTTTGTCACTCATTTCGGGTAGGGTACGGGTACGGGTAGGGAACGGGTACGGGTACCCATTTGCGACCCTGGTGCGGCCGGGTACGGGTAAGGAATCAAACCCCGTTTGCGACCTCTGGTTGGGGTGCGTCTCGTAATCCACTGAATGTGGCGTCACGTGGAAGGGTTTGGGCAGAGTTGGTTTTGATTGCCGCAAAGATTGGCGACATTCGACCCAGCAGCTACGTAGCAACGCGCTGCTCTCTCTAAGACTTGGCACACCACGTGTGATTTGGGGAAGAAAAAAACAACACGGCACTCTACGTAGCACAAAATAAATTGGAAGCGTCATTGTGGAGACTACTGCTTGTGTTCCGTATGTTCCCTTGAGAGCAATGGGCTATTAACTGAACAATCACTAATTTGTGCAGCACCACTTCCTTTTGTGTTTCAGGCTATAGACATTTTCAAGCATCCACTTTGTGTGTGCGCGCGTGCTGCAATTTGCGGGGAATTCATTTCCACGAAGGCCTTCATCAGTCACCCAAAAATGTGCCGCCTCGCAAATTTGCTGATTAGACCATCATAGCCGGGTGATATTTCTTCAGAAAATCATCATCATCAACATCATCAACATCATCGCCCAGTTCCGTTGGCTTGATGGCGATGTCTGGCCGCAATCGTCACGGAGTCCAGTGGCGGTGCAGAGTGCAGTGGTCAGCGTTTTGATTCCCCGTTAAAGCCGTTGAGCGTTAATGGAATTGCAAACACGGGCAGTGTAAAGTGGGGCTGGTTTTTACAAGAGCGTTTTGTTGTTGTTGATGCTACGGAACACCGTATGATGTGCACACTGAGCATAAAAGACCGAATGCTCTTGGAGATTGCTAAAAAAACATTCTTCTTCTTCACAGAATCCATCACGGAGGTACAGACTGACATCTTCGTGACCAGCTTCGGCCCCGTGTCCGACACAGAAATGGTAAGTGATGTTCTGATTAACCGCCGACGAGAAACCATTAGAGTTGTGACGAGGTTGAAGCGGCACTTCAGGAAGCCGTCCGCGGTGGTGTAACCATCAGCACACCGGAGTTACCATACAGTGGTCACCCGGTTACATTCCATCTCCCGGTGAGACCGGTAAAATATCGGTGCAAGTTTCTGCATGCCCCCCCCCCCAGCCCACTACCTCTGCCCACCCATGTTGCATGTAAGAGTAGACCAAATACCCCTTAGAGGAGCCCTCCATAGATCCCTCTTCAGTGGAAGCCCTTCTGCCACCAATGGTGTTTTAGCAAACCATTGCAGGGCTGCCCATTTATCTTTGCGACACCTTAGAGGCAGATTGTGCCGTGATGAAGATTACGTATGCAGTGCTAAGATGTGCGGTGTGTAGTGATAACATATAGTGTTTATCAGGACATCAGTACCTGGTCCTGTTTAGTTTAACAGTGTGTGTGTGGGTATTATTGAAGCAGTGTGTGTGTGTGGTTATTATTGAAGCAGTGTGTGTGTGTGTGGGTATTATTGAAGCAGTGTGTGTGTGTGGGTATTATTGAAGCAGTGTGTGTGTGTGTGGGTATTATTGAAGCAGTGTGTGTGTGTGTGTGTATTATTGAAGCAGTGTGTGTGTGTGTGGGTATTATTGAAGCAGTGTGTGTGTGGGTATTATTGAAGCAGTGTGTGTGTGTGGGTATTATTGAAGCAGTGTGTGTGTGTGGGTATTATTGAAGCAGTGTGTGTGTGTGGGTATTATTGAAGCAGTGTGTGTGTGTGTGGGTATTATTGAAGCAGTGTGTGTGTGTGGGTATTATTGAAGCAGTGTGTGTGTGGGTATTATTGAAGCAGTGTGTGTGTGTGCATACTGCCTAGTGCGTAGTGGAGGTGCAGTGGTCAGCGCACTGCGCTACGAACCCCGAGACCCGAGTTTGATTTCCGGCCACAGCCAACATCAGCGGCATTTATCTGAACCCATTCTGCACCTTCCCATCGGTCGACTCAACCTGGACTGAGTACCTGGTGCCGTGTGTTCAAACATCAGCACGGGGGAGACAAAGACGTCCGGGCATGGCGTAGCCCACACCATCCACTCGTGTGCAATGCCTTCCTTGAATGCTCGATTCATCCCCAGAGTTTGCGGGGGGGGGGGGGTACAAGGGGGCAGTGCCCACCCCCCCCCCCCAAACTGGACACCCTTATTAATTTATTTTCAGTAGTTTACAATTAAGATAAAAAATTTTTTTATTAATTATATGCACCCGCAGTTCCTAATGTGACGGACAAAGCGAACCTCCCCCCCACCCAATATAGAAGTCAAACTCAACAACATGACGTGTCGCCACGTCTTCTTTCATTTGTATTAATAGCGGCAGATTAAAGATGTCATTTTAGAAGTCGTTTTCCACTCAATTGTCTCTTCAGAAGCAGAGAGGATCTCGTCCATGCCTCCGTGGTGAACACCGCAGCAGCGGAGTGTTTACGATGCGGTCGATGGTTCGGCATTCGTGGCCGTACTCGCAGGCTGCTGCATCTTTAAAGCGCCATTTGTGCATCGGGTGGCCGCAACGGCCATGCCCCCTGGTCCTGATTCGCTTGACGGTCGACCATTGGCGGAGTGAAAGGTCGAACCCGGGAGGTTCGACGGTAGGGTCCTGAACGAGACGTTTCTTTTTGACGTCGGCCGCAGTCCAGACTCTCGTTTCCATCTCCCGCCCTCATTTGTGGCGTGGAGTGAGGCTGCTTTGATCCAGAAGTGGAGGCATGCCACCACTCGAGGAATCTCTAAGACAGCCTCTCAGGGGGGTGTTTAGTCTGCTGTTCCACGCTGGCCAGATGTCTTGGAAGGTGGTGGGAGTGATCCACACTTTACCCCACCAACACGGCATGACCTGCCGATCGACTCGCTGTGCTTTACCTTATACTGGCGCGTGGACAGGGGCAGAGGGAATTAATAATGCTGCACCATTGTATTTTCAACTGCCGCACCAGGAGAAATGTTTGAACCGGTGACCTCACTCGAGTGTGCGTTTCTCATATTTGCTCTCCGTTTTTCAGGCGTTTACCGATAACACAAACAAGGTTTCGACAACGCGAGTTTATTTCTGCAGTCATCGGTGACGGGGCTGAGGTCATCAACTCACTGCACTTGAGAACCCAGTTGAAACTAAACTAAACTGTGAACTATTATTATTTTACCAGGTAAGGCCCACTGATCTATATCGCTGTTTTCGGAATTGACCTGGCCACAAATGATAGCTCAATGAAGTGGCTTATCATGTGGAAATGTATCGCAGCAAAATAACAATGAATGCACATTGATTCTAAATGTGGAAGGAAAACCCGGAGGACCCGGAGAAAAATCCACGTGTCTACAGGGAGAGAGATACGCAGACTCCAAATCTACAGGCGTCAGGTCGGGATCAAATTTACGACCTCCTGTATACCAGGCGAGGTAGTTAACATCTCCGAGCCACTGCGGTGCCCACACGGGTGGCAAAAATGTCCATTCAGGCCCAAGGCTCTCGGTAGTCCTGGCCCAGGGTTTCTGACCTCAGAGCCACCCAGCCATCTCAAGGATTGATCTTAATCGATACACTATTACAACCCCTCTATCACCACATCATTCATCGTGGAAGTGCATCATCGCTTTGTACAAGATGACATTACAAATCCCAGTTCCTTCTCCTCTGTGGTCCATCACAAAGACTTTCAGAATTAGGTTCAAATGCTCCAGGCTGGACACCCAAACCAATGAATGCTGTCAGGAGAAAAATGAAAGACATACGGTTCAATGAGCATCTCACAGAAAAAGTGGAAATAACGCACATCGAGAGAAAAATATATACGATTTGTTCATCATCGGCAGGGCAATTATTTCCCTTTTCTGACAGCCAGAGCTAGGGGAGACCATTGCTGCTCATCCGAGCAACATTTGTCTCGAGAATAGCTTGCCTCGAAAGGCCGTATTGTCTTACAGTGTACTCACTGGCTAACAAATGTGTAGTAACACCCCACACAGAAATCTTCAACAATAGGAGTCTTTCACTATGAGACCTCCTTTACCAGTGCCAAAATATAGTGATAGGTTGTTACCCTTTCAACTGGTACAAAAACTGACACCTTTATACAAGGCATCATGTTTGCAATAACCACAACACAAGCAGTCAAAATGCAAACAAAAATAAACAACTCTGATAATGATAATGATATGCATTGTCCTTGAAGTTGATTGGTCCACACCCGAGACAGCTTTTCTTAGAGCCTAGTCTCCATTGGTGTTGGACCAGATGACCCCAAAAGGCGTACAACTCAAAAACAGCGCACTATCAGAGTATTGAGAGCTCGGGGTAAGCATTTACACTATGAGACCTCCTTTACCAGTGGCAAAATATAGTGATAGGTTTTTACCCTTTCAACTGGTACAAAAACTGACACCTTTATACAATAGGAGTCTTTATTTCTTCCAGCACGAGACACACGCATCTTAAAGGATTCCCTTCACTCTAAGTGTGCCGAACCCTCTCGCTTCCCCTTTATATATTCCTTCAGCCCCTTTCCTGGACCTGCTTTCCCCCCATCCAATCACCTTCCACTTTTTCTAAGAGATACCAACCGTCCTCCCTGTCAATCATCCTCCATTTCCCGCTCTTTCCATGTTGTATTTCTCCAATCCCTTCAATTCCCTGCATCTAACCACTCCCCTTTCAGGCCCCGTTAAGTTACAATCAGAGGGCTTCGTTTTACTTCCTTGACTGTCCGTGGCATAATGCACATCGTGTCCATAACGTCGGCTGGGTATTTTGTATTTTAAGGTTTTCGGTAAAGTCACGTAGGTAAAACATTTTTTTTTAATAAAAGTAAAATAAATAAAATTAAAATCACGACGTTTCGGAGGCAACACAAGCTTCCGTCTTCAGGTGGAACCGTCACAGCACGATAGCTGTATCAAGAAAGAGAAATTCCAAGAAAACAGTCCTTGTATATATACTGGTTGAGGGTGGGAGGGGCCAAGGTAGGCCCTGAATATTATTATTGTGAGGTTCGGTGCGGCTGAAACACGCTGTTAGGAATGAGCCTTTGTTGTGTAAACTAGGTGCGGCTGATGTAAAGGTGCGTGTAAATGGGACTGAGCCTTTTGTTATGTAGAGGTGGTGCGGCTAAAACCCTGCCAGGAATGAGTCTTTGTTGTGTAGAATGGTTGAACTGGGAGGTTCTAAGAGTTGTTAAGGTGCGGCTGATGTAAAGGTTTGCGATTGAATCACTACAGACGTACGCTACTAGGGTCACGCCACTGCCGCCACGCAGCGGTGCGTTAGGGCGCAGTCGCTCGCGTGGCTTGGGGCAGTTTCACGGCGACTCGGCCGGAGCGGAGGTATCGGATCTGGCAGGTCGCCCCCCCCCCCCCCCCCCGTCATTACTTGCCAGCGTATTCACCGTAAAATACGATTCCACGTCCGGTTCCCAGTGGAGTTGCGGGCTACGTCTGTGAGATGTAGCAGCAGCGGCGCTTTCCTTCGCGACAATGGCGTGAATGTGAAATGCGATAAATTGCCATTATTATTCCGTGTCACGTTTGGACAATATAATGAGTTACATGACCGATCAGAGTTGATCATCTGCAGCCAGGGAATATACCGTATCAGCACTCATATTCAACGTGATCGATTGATGCGTTGGTGCCCATATCCTGTTTACAGCCATAAGTGGTCAATGGCCAGGGTCAACGGCGGCGTGGTGTATTCCGCAAATATGCCTGACTGTGAGGGCGGGCACAAGCCGGCGTGAGTAGGTTAAACGTTGAGTTTTATAAGGGCACCACGGGGTGACCAGCCCCTCCCCACCCAGCCCCACCCAGCCCCACCCTCCCCACCCTCCCCTCTCCACCCCTGCCCCACCCCTCCCACCCCCACCCAGCCCCACCCTCCCCACCCAGCCCCTCCCCTCCCTCTCCTCTCCACCCAGCCCGACCCCTCCAATTTTTGGATGCACGACGGACGGACACAATAATCCCCTGTGGGCTGGTGGAACCAGGTGGTTCCTACCAGTAAAATCTATGCATAGGGCAATGGCTGTTAACTTCCCCACTTGTGGTACTAATTTTATCTCCCTGGGAGGGATGATGAGCTGAGTCAACCCACAACCGGGATTTTAATTTTCAGCCTCCTGTTGACCCAAGCAAAATCTGCACCGGGTTCGACCTTCTGGGTCTCATCAGCAGAGGCATGCTTGTTCAATGCCGCTGGGTTACCAGATGTGAATGACGAGAGAACGGCATGTAAACTATGAGGCCCTGTGCAACACAAGAAGCAATATTGTCCACATGCATTGTTATTGTGGAGGATGATGGGTAAACACATATACACACACACATACAAATATATGTTATTGTCCATAACGCTGCACAGCCATGCATACATAGTTTGTTCACAACATTTCTTCTCCTGTTTACAACTCTGAACCAGTGGTGGAAATTCCCCATTCCTTTGGCGGGGTCGATCCTACGCGTATTTTCTCAGGAAGTCTCACTCATTCCTCTTTTCCAGCAGGGTCCTACCGAGGTATCACAGTGGGGGGGGGGGGGGGTTCAGCATCGATTGCTCCAAATAATCCCCATTGAATAATTCGCAGGTAGTTATTCAAGTTGAGCAAATTTGTACGATGATGCCGGGGACGCAAATGGCAAACGCATCGCCGCCAGGCAGACGGAGCGAACTTTAATGTTCAAACGCGCACGCCAAGAACCAGGGTGCCACCTTGAGTTGAACCGCGAGCGTCGCATCTAACAAATGATAACAATTCACATTTGTAGAACGGGTTTCATCCAATGATCCCAATGCGCCGTGTATGGAAAGCGGGGAAATTAGACAGAGCCAGCAGCAACGACCAAAACTGGGGGGAAAGGCCATTTTTAAAGAGGTGAGTGTTCAGAGCAGATTTAAATATCTCTAAAGAGTCTGTCTTATTATCAGAGGAAATGCGCTCCATAGCCTCGGAGCTGCACTGGCAAAAAGCCCCATGACCCCCAGGAACGGAGCCTTGACACTCGGAATACTAAAAAGGAAATGGAGCTCATTGGTGGTGTTTATAAGCGGATCAGTTCCTGCGAGTAATAAGGGGCTAACCCATTGTGGCTGCCTTGTAGGTCAATAGCAGCACCTCATAACCAATTCGATATTTGATTTGGTAGCCAATGCAAGGACAAGACAACGAGCGTGATGTGCTCACGAAATGGTGTTCGCGTAAGTAGCAGCAGCAGCAGCAGTATCATCTCTCTCTCTGTGCTCCCTCACCCCCTTATCTCCGCCCGCACGCAGGAATACACCATAGACATGTTCTTCAGGCAGAGCTGGAAGGACGAGCGGCTCAAGTATGAGGGTGCCATGCAGACGCTGCCGCTCAACAACATGATGGCCAGCAAGATCTGGACTCCGGATACCTTCTTCCACAACGGCAAGAAGTCGGTGGCTCACAACATGACCACTCCCAACAAGCTCCTCCGCATCGCAATGGACGGGACCCTGCTCTACACCATGAGGTGAGGGGGGTCAACAACGATCGCTCGTCGTCGTCACCGTGGTGACTACGCGCGTGGCCTGTTTGTCCGGCAACTGTGGAGGCAGCGAGGGTTGGCGGGTCGCACAAATGTTGCGAAACGCCCTTCCCATGGGCGATGGAGGAGGTGCGATTCTCTCGTTCGCCAGCAGCAAGTGTGGCCTAGTCTCCATCTGTTCCATTTGTACGGGATAGAGTGTTACCCCCTCGCACTTGTGGCGTTTTGTCTGGGCTCACCTTTTCTTTCCATCGTCTCTGTCGCCATCCACTGGTTGCTAACCGGCCTTAACTAGAAGCAATTCCCGTTCGGGCCACGGTACTTGATACAGAGTGAGTTTTTAAGCCGGGCTTAAGTGCCCAGTCCTGCCATCTCACTTCCCCCGCCCACTACCCACAAGTCCCCAGGCCTCATTCTCGAGGCCGACGCGAGCTCATTGGGGGTGGGGTGCTTACCTCCAGGGCATTCCAGTTCTGGGCAGGTGGCCATCGCACACGGATGGGGAGCATCAATCTCCTGGAGCGATTCATCCAGCTCGCCGCCGTTATCAGGACGGATTTGGTAGAAGCCGATTCGAGTTCACTGCGACAGCACGAAGAGCAGTGGCAATGGTGAATCGCTGGGGATCACCCAAGTTCTGCTCGCTCATGATGGTGGCATGGCACCACAATCCTTAACTAATCATTTATCATCGTTTTCGCAATCATAATTTCAGTCCTGGAGGAATGATTAGGCGAAGTGGTGAACATCTCCTAGCCACCGTGGTGCCCCCACGGTGTTGATACAGTCAGACACAATTATGATCGCGTCTGACTGTGTTGGTGCAGACGGGGCCTGCTGTTTTTGGCCTTTTCGTGTCTCTGGCTCACGCGGTGTTTGCCGCTGGGATTTAAGCTACTTTTGCGCATTTTATCTTCACACTAAGAAGTAAAAAAAATCCCTCTATTTTTTGTCAGTTTTATTTTATCCACCCACCCGCTCACCCAAGCTATTTCAGTCTTTCACAAAATCAATTCCCAAAAGGAATTGTCAATATTGAACCACTTAGAGACACTATTATATATTTTTTGTACTTTGGCACACTCACAAAATGCGATTGTGATGAAATGTTTAAATGTTGTTGACTGAACGTCGGTTGTCTGTAATTCTAAGTGGTCTACTTATGCTGTTTTGTATGGCCGGGAGTCTGTCAGCAACGTTAGTATCTCCGTGTCGAGGTTAGCGAGTCGGTGAGCTAGTGGATGACTTCAGGAATAGCCCACCGAATATCTGAAATGCTTCCGGTGATTGATTGAATTGGGCTGTGGCATTACCGTGTGATCCACGGTTTGTGGTAGAGTGGCATTGTGATGTGTGGGACTAAAATAGAGAGATACATTAAGACTTCCTAGTTTATACTGGTAGGAACCACCTGGTTCCACCAGCCCATAGGGGATTATTGTGTCCGTCCGTCCGTCGTGCATCCAAAAATGGGAGGGGTGGGGCTGGGTGGAGAGGTGAGGGTGGGGAGGGGCTGGGTGGGGAGGGTGGGGAGGGGCTGGGTGGGGAGGGGAGGGTGGGGAGGGGCTGGGTGGGGAGGGTGGGCTGGGTGGAGAGGGGCTGGTCACCCCGTGGTGCCCTTATAAAACTCAACGTTTAACCTACACACGCCGGCTTGTGCCCGCCCTCACAGTCGGGCATATTTGCGGAATACACCACGCCGCCGTTGACCCTGGCCATTGACCGAGCAACCCAACGTTCCTACCAGCTCCCTCCGCAGGAATGTGTTTTAGAGATCCGTAGACTTACGTAGGCACGTAGAGATGCATACAACTTTAAGACAGAGATCACCACTACATCTACACCGCTTTCATGTAACGTGACAGCGGTGTGGATTTAATGAGGAAGAAGAGGGAATTGTGATGGGTGGGATGAGTGGTGTGCAGGTTGGAGGAGGAGGATTGGGGTCAGCTACTTGGAGGTTGGGAATATAAGTAGGAGGTAGTGATGGGTGGGACGTGCGGGCGTGATGGAGTAGGGGGCAGGTGTAAATAACAATGTCCTTTATTCATCTTGAATTTGAAGACGTTTGTGCTGGAAGGTCCTAAATTGAGACGTTTGGCCAATTCCGTTAACGTTTGGTCGGCTTCACCTGTGAAGAAATGGATTACACGGAGAAAGCTCGCCACACATGCGAAGGAATAAGACGTAACTTACATCAATCACGATTTATTTTCCATTACGAATTTGCCGTTTTTGATCAAATGCATTTTTCTGCCTCGGCACTTCCTCCTCTGCACAAAACAAAGGGCAGCGCGTGTTTGTTTTTTTGCCGGCATTTCCATCTGCGTGAAATGACCGCGAACATTTTTACCACAACAACAAAACGTAATACACCGTATTAGTGAACCTGCTGAAGGTCTTGCTTTCCAGACATAACGTGAACTGATATGCATTCTTCCCTAAAGGCCATAGATTTTATACGATTGTACGCGCGTGCGTGTCTGTGTGTTTATGCCAAATTATTATTGCGTTGCGTTTCATGCTGATGTTTAAAATCGTGTTAGTCGCATCGCCCTTGATGTGTTAATATGAATGATTGAAACATCTATGGGTGTGTGTGTTTTTTTTTAGCAAACACAATTGCTGAGCACAGTAGGCCCGAAGGCCACGGACGCAAATTGGCACCGCAACAAAGAGCACTGTCCAAGTTGTTTCAGGAGAAGTATAATAACGTGCTCCTTGAATTGAGCGACGTTATCATCGGCAGGGTCGGATTCAGGTTCCTGTAGGCCCCAGGCATTTCTCCTTCGTAGGCCTTCAGTGGAAACCTTCTGCTGCCCTACGACCGCCACTGTCACTTGGCTTCGTCCAGCCGCTAGACAGATGCCGTGACTGCCGACACGCTCACCGATTAGCCTGAGCCCTCATTCGATGAGAGCGTGCTGTGTGCCGCAGATAAGCAGATTTTATTTAAAGCACTGTGCCCGTCCTTGCTATGCAATTATGTTCATTCGGGAAGATATCTTGGTTGCAATTTATTTATCATGCAAACAAAAGAACATCGCCAAATAATTTTTTCGTTGGCCCTTTGTACCATGCGGCCCTGATTATACGAGCTCTGTGAAAAAACAGCATGGGAGGAAATTCGAAAAGAGAAGTGGCTGAACACCGGCTCTCACTACCCCAACCCCTCTCACTACCCCAACCCCTATCACCACCCCTATCACTACCCCTATCACTACCCCTATCACTACCCCAACCCCTATCACTACCCCTATCACTACCCCAACCCCTATCACTACCCCTATCACTACCCCAACCCCTATCACTACCCCTATCACTACCCCTATCACTACCCCAACCCCTATCACCACCCCTATCACTACCCCAACCCCTCTCACTACGTCTACCCAAACCCCTATCACCACCCCTATCACTACCCCAACCCCTATCACTACCCCTATCACTACCCCTATCACTACCCAAACCCCTATCACCACCCCTATCACTACCCCAACCTCTATCACTACCCATATCACTACCCCAACCCCTATCACTACCCCTATCACTACCCCTATCACTACCCAAACCCCTATCACCACCCCTATCACTACCCCAACCCCTATCACTACCCCTATCACTACCCCAACCCCTAACACTACCCCTATCACTACCCCAACCCCTATCACCACCCCTATCACTACCCCAACCCCTAACACTACCCCTATCACTACCCCAACCCCTATCACCACCCCTATCATCACCCAAACCCCTGTCACTACCCCTATCACTACCCCAACTGAAAAAAATGTCAAGAGCCAGCAGTGCACGTGCTGATCCCTGCCCATGGTAAACTGGTCTCCCATGGTAAACTGGACTCCCACAGTAAATTGGAATCCCACGGTCAACTGGACTCCCACGGTGAACTGGACTCCCATGGTAAACTAGATTTCCACGGTAAGCTGGACAAATTTCATGGTAAACTGGACTCCCACAGTAAACTGGACTTCTATGGTAAACTGGACGAGTTTCATGGTAGACTGGGCGACTTCCAGGAGGACGGCAACCAAAATAACAAGAAGAGACATTTTTTTTTCGAATTTCGAGAGCCGCCACTGCAGTCCCATAAAGAGGCGCCGCGTGCGGATCTCGAGCCGCGGGTTTGGAGACGGACCAAGCCTGTGCCCGCGGCAAGCGGTGTGCCGACGTGAGTCCCGTGGGCAGTCACCCGGCGCATGCCGATTTCATTGCGGTCTGCCAAAAAAAAGAATGTTCAGCTGAAGAAGCGCACCCACACGCAGCGACATGGGCGTTCAATTTTGTTTCGTGTTTCCTGGAAACATATAAGCAACATGCCTGCCAGACGACTTTTCTCACGTAATGCGTTATTCGTACTTTGCCTGTTGCTGTTGCAATTAAGTGCTTAATTTGATAACCGAGCGAAAAATTGCCTTAATGATGCTTCTGTCTAATGTGGCACGCACGCATGGGAATCTAATCTTCTCGTAATTATCTACTCTTGCATGTCAAACGCAGTGTGCGTCACCAATTTTAACGAGTCCCGCAAAAAATTATTTGACGAATTAAAATAATTGTTCTGAAGGTACGATTTAGGAGTGTGGTTATTGGGGCATAAAATGTCTCCGGAATGAGTGACGGCCAAAGTTCCGGAACAATTAACGAGTGAGTTGCTGTCTAAGGGAAAGAAACCGCATCCGAGAGGTCGTTCGCAGGGGAGATGGAGCGATGAAATCGGTGGTGTGTAGCAGGTGCGGGGTGGATTGTCACATCGCGGGTTCGTAAGAGGTGGGGAGGCCTCTGTCACTTTTGATAAGATACGGAACGCATTCGAGACTCCGTCCAGGGACGCCACGGTGGCCGCGAGAAGAGGTTTTCCCCTTTTTTCTGGCAACAAAACAGCTGTGTTGAGATGCTAAAACACCAAACTGAAACCTTTTTACAAGGAATCATGTCTACATTAACCACAATACTTGTGGTCAGAA